TTGGCTAATGCTAATTTCTAATCAGAGATCTGTTAACTTGCTTTGTGAGTGACTGCTTGTTGTCAGTGGTCATGCTAGTACCCCAAATGTCTGTTTTGCAAATTATGGATGAATTGCAAATCCTCCTATAGTGATTTATAGCTACCGTACTCATGCAGTTTTCCTTGTGCATGGGTACAGTAGCAGTAGCAACATCTCTGCTTCAAATTCAACATTTGTTGCATCTCTTCTGCTTCTGCTTCTCTCTCTTCTCATGTTTTCTATGACGTAAAAGCATAAAGTTCCCAACAATTCCTATGAAATGTCCTCAAAATTACTCAGTATTCAGGAAGAAACAGGAAGTGAGTCACATGTTGTCATTACTACTCTCCACCATAACTATACACAAATCCTTCTTTTATTGAAAGCAGAGCTTGTGAGTTTAAAGCTGTGAGCAAACAGTATTATTGCCCAGTGGCAGTTACTCAGACAGTGTGAGACCTTTAGTTGTTCTCTGTTCTCATTGTACCTGTTTGCAATGGTCTGTACCTGAGTTCTCTGCTATTTTGGTCACTGACCCTTAGCCACAAGTTAACCACAGAAGTCATTTGATATACATTTTACTGTGATGATGATCCTGTGGTGTTTGTCCACAGACTACAGTGGAAAAACATCCTAAATTTAGACATTATGTGTCATCTGACCATCCCACATCTGGTGAGCTGACGCGTAGAGGGTTAGGCCCTGATGCAACAGCACGTCATCGTTAACATTATCAGCATTACAAGTCCATCTCAGAAAAAGATTCATTTGTAACATAGCTGGCATAATAAATGTAAAAAGAAAACATACGCTTAAATTGTAATGGAAGGCTATTAAGATAGAGCTAAAAGGAACTAAAGAGAAACGTGACAAGAAAGAAGAGTCTTAGTTTCCCTCTCGAGTAAAGCCAACCAGCCTGATAAATATCTCTATAGCCATGAGAAAATCACCTTAGCTGTTTAGTGGAGCAATTAGTCTCAAGAATTCAGGTTAATGAGGTACAATTTAAAAAAATATATAAATATTTTAAGGAATCCAATGCCTCTTCTTTGTGCCAGTATCCCCTTAAGAGCTTTCCTCAGTGTTATATTGGACAGCTTCAGGGCTTTGACTCCTTGTGGTTTCTCTCTCCCTCAAGGAACTGGTTTCTGTGGGCACCTTGGGTTAAAAGTGTAAATAAGCTATAAATGAAACACCTCTTTATCCTGTCTATTACTATGTAGAAACCTTGCATCAGGCCCTACAAACCCTCACTGGTGACTGATACTCGCTTCATGCTCATGTCTGTTATTAAACCTTTGAAATAAGTATGAATTTAACATTGAGAGATAAGATCAACATAAACTTTAATTCAAAGACTTCAAAGACACTTTTCA